ACAAACAAACTACACCTCATCAAAGCAAGTAGGTCAATTACTAAATTAATTAAGACAAATCATTTAAGCACACAATTAATTTAAACAATTAAGCAATTAGCCAAGTAATCAATTAATTAATTAAAAATATAATTAAAAATAAATAAATTAATACCAAGACTATCCTTTTAAAATTAAGGGTATTACAAATACCAAACGGTCCAAACACTGCCTCAATTATGTCTTACGTGTGTGTGTGTATAAACGTGCTACATTTCCAAAAAGCTATGGCTCAATTTTTTTTTTTTTTTTTTTTTTTTTTTTAAATCATGATAAATTAGGGGTGGTGGGACTTGAATACGGGTTCGATACCGTCTCAAAGGTTGAGTGTTCTACCAACTATGCCACTAAATAATGTTCATACCATTCAGTTAGACTCCACCATTTAGACAACTCAATTCCAACCCAACTCAATTTATTTATGAGATTGGAATAGTTATTTTTACAATTATTGACGCACCCCAACCCAATTTACACTATTTAATAAATTGAACAATTGGAATGCATCTAACCATATGCATTAACCTCATACATACATGACGTCATCATACATCAGAGTGTCTGCTTAACAATTTATAATTAAAAACAAACTATAAGCCCATTATACGAGTTTCGACAAAACTAAATCGTTAATTACAAATTATACTACCAAATTCTACTACAATAATTACATCATATACAAAAGGCTTTCTGCTGTTCTTTTCCCATTCACACCCAAGACCCTTAGATATGGCATTGGCAACCCAACCTTGTACCTAAAAAACATAGATATGGAATGAGTGAGCTTAAAACCCAGTGAATGCAACACTACTACATCATCATAATATAAACAAATATTATTTGATAATTTCAATTAAACTTCATTAATATATAACTTCATGCTTTATAAGTATTATAATATAGTACTTTCATTCTAGGACAGATTATGGACTTTATATAATATAGTATTTCCCTTCTAGGTTAGAGTATGGACCTTATATAATATATTACTCTCCTTTTATAACAGAGTATGGACCTTATATAATATATATAAGCATTTCCACGTCAAATAAACACATTCGATTCTTCAACATACATATTCAAGTATAAGCTTCTAATGAATACACTCACCTTGGCTGCTTTTCAAATTATTTATTTGTCGTTCTGCGTTGTCCTAGCTTCCGTCTCCTTTTTCTTGTCTGAACATTACAACCATGCTATATTTATTTCCTAGTATAATTAAAAAATAATTATCACCTCAATATTAAATTCCAACTTTACACGGAATTGTAACTAAATTTATAATCATAAACAGTTATATATAATCACATTATAATAATTCCAAACAACCAAGCATCGTATCACCTTATACCAAATATCAACTCCATTAAAAGAAAACTAGTGAAAAAATGATATTAAGTCAAGAACAGCACAATAACTCAATTATCTAATATAAAAGTCTCCGGTACAAAAATCTCTACCTTTCAAGAAATTAAAGTTAGTCTATCCTAATTTTTCTAACTTGCCTTGTTTATCTCCTCCTCCTTCCCCTGTTCCTCATTTCCTTCCTTCTCAGCCGAGCCCACTACTTGGCTCTCTTTTGTTTTCTTTTCCTTTTCTGTTCCCGTTTTACCAAAGGCAGCCACCTAGTTAAAAAGCTTCTAAAAAAAGAAGCTTTGGTAATAAAAATACATACTTAACTAAAGGTATATGTGTCGTGTATGTGTAAGTCGTGTCCGCTTCCTTAGTTATCCAACTTGTCCATCTATTAAACTTGTCCTTCTATATGACCAATTAATCCCACCAACCCACCAATGCTTCTAGATAAAGCTGGGAACAAGTACAATTTCCATATGTATATGGAAGTCTCCAGCGCGCGCGCGCATATATATATATATATATATATATATAAAGTCAAATTCCACAAGTTTTTCAAAGAATCTTCAGCTTGATATAATATCTAATATACATTTATACACATCCACTTATAGGTGGTCCGGGTGTTTATTTTATGGGTGGTGCGGGTATTTATTTTAGTGTTGTTCATAAAAAATGCTTATATATAAATAAATTTTAATTAAAATTAAATTATGCTAAATAAAGTGATTATGTATTGGAATCTGACAATTATGATTGGATTAGAGTGAAAAAATCTTAATTCAAACTTAATTATATATTTGAGGCTGAAGCAACTCAGACTTCCAAACCTAATTTATTGCATATTTTCTTTTCAACTTCCTTTTGTAACAATCCTAATTTATTATACATTTTGGAGAATCTAAGGCAAACTTTGATTTTCAACCTCACTTTTTTAAACATGAGCTAAACTTTAATTTAAAATTAGAGTTAAGTGCAAAAATTATATATAAAAAATGTACAAAAAAAAGACCCCTATTGAAATATATATATATACACACACACATAACTTCCTGTATTATTCATCTTTTGGGTAAATTGTCCCATATTAAATAAATCTGATGTAAAATAGTAGTTGTTGATGTCATTTTTTTTCTTTTCTAAAAACCAAAATTACATTTTTTGTGTAACAAGAATGCCCTACAAATTTTGTATATATTTGAAGTGAATGTGTTTGTTTGGATGTACTTGAAGACTTATCCGAGGAAATCTTTCTCTAATATTATTTTCTCTCTATGTTGCCGTTAAGCAATTTGTTTCCAAGAGGATATCATTTTTTTTCTTATGAAACTATATTTTATTTGGTTTGTCAAGTGAGATTCTGACATCTGTTCATCATATTTGTTTTTTAAATATTATTTATTCCAATATATATATATAGAAATATGATCTTTCTTGCAAATATTCTTTTCTAATTTTATAACTTCTATATATTTTCCTTCCATTATTAGAACTATCTTTCTATAAAAAATTATAATCTCTTTCTAAATTTCTTTGTGTTGTCCCTCTAAAATTTCTCTGTGTTGTCTCTTTCTAAAACAGGAGATAGAGCACCCGGAATCAACAAGTCCTAAGAAATTTAATAATATCAACAAAGAGCCAGAGAGCACAACTCGGGAAGACGTTGCTTGACCCGCTCAAAAAAATCAGCAATCCAATTCCAATCTTTTCAAGAAAATCAAGAAAAAAAAATTAAGAACCAACTACAAATTTTCGGTATAAATAAATAGAAATCATAAATATATATATATATATATATATATATATATATATATATATATATATAGAGGAAAAAACAGATAAAAAATTTACTTCTTCTATTCAATGAGGCTACGTCAAAGCAATATTAAGAAATTTGGATCAATTCTATTAGTATTTTCCTTTGTGTGGATTTATTTAGTTTTTATCTACAAATTTTTACACTGCATATTTCTTATTCAAATTTTAACTTTTTGCACGAATACAATATGTCATTTACTACTAGTTAAACAGTGTTGTCTCAATCTTTTATAAATAGTTGGGTTTAATTACGACTATGGAAATGGAATAAAAGATAAGGCTGGTGGGTGCGTGAATAAAGTGTACAAGAAAGATTGTGAGACACGAGAATTGAGATTAAAAAGAGATATATGGAAAATGAGAGACGGAGTATACATATATATATATATATAAATATATTGAGTATTGTTATGTTATGGTATGCGGAGAAGGAAAATATGACTTTAAGGTTCATTTTGACATTTTGTCTTTTGTTTTGTATTTTTGTTTTTTTCATTTTTTGTTAATGATAAAGTAAGGTTAATTTAGTAATTTTACTGCCAAAATTATGATTTATCAGTAAGAGTGTTTTTTTTAACAATAATGTTACGTTTGGTATGCAGGAATGGAATGAAATGAAATGCTCATTCCAGCCATTCCTTTGTTTGGTATGCGACTTAAAGTGGGAATGGCCATTCCATTAGAATGAAAATTCATTCCTGGGAATGAAAATCTATTCCACAACTAAACATATAGAATGACCATTCCATTCCCAAATAATTTATTTTTAAAAATTGATTTCCCAAAACACCTTCATATTTCAAGTCCAAAAACTACCATTATCTTCCAGCACAATCATCTTTGCCTTTCATCACCACCATGGCTACCACTGCCTTTCACCACCACCGACTTTCACCATCACCCACCACTTTCCGCCACCACCACTGCCACCGCCTTTCACCACCACTACCTCCACCGTTTGTCGCAACCACCACCGCTACCGCCTTTCACCACCGCTTTCGCCACCACCACTACTACCGTCACCACCGCCACCGCCTTTCACCACCATTTGCCGCAACTACCACTGCCTTTCACTACCGCTACCGCTTTTCACCGCCACTACCGCCGCCGCCACCTTTCACCACTAACGCCGCCTTCCATAACCACCAACGCTGCCGCCATCACCTTCTACCATTGCCATCGCCTTCTACCACCTTCCATCACCACCTTCCACCACCGCCACCACCACCACTACCACTTTCCACTACCACTACTATCGTTAATTTAATTTAATTTATTTGTTACTAAGAGGGATATTTTGGAGAATTCAATTATAAATTTATTCCATTCTAAATTTTAAAATGGTCCAACCAAACACTAAAATTGTTATTATCATTCTATTCCTACACATTTCATATTTACAACCAAACAATAGAATGAGAATTACTATTCTATTCCATTCACATTCTCATTCCATTCTTGCTTGCATTCCATTCCATTCCTGCACACCAAACATAACATAAGGGATAAATTGCACATTTGGTATATTATGAAGAATTTTTTGCATCGTACTCTTAAAATTATAATTTTAATATGGGTTAAACTTGAGTTAAAGAGTTAGGGTTGGGTTGAGCTTGGTTTCAAATTTTATGACTTGGGTCCGGCTCTAGTTGAACATTCAAACCGGGTATAAACGCACGTGTATTTCTCCTATATAATAGGTAAATTACACAGTGATATGTTCATTGAATATACTGGGGAAAAAATTATTGGAGTCATCTAAATGTTTTTAAAATATATGAAAAAATTCATTGAAAAGTTATTTTATTTTGGCGACGTACCGCCCCACCAAAAGCAGTTATTTCGGAGATCCCCTTTTGGATACAGCCAAGCCACACGTTCCTCCCAACTTCCATGATTTTCCAATTAGGGTTTCAAATCATCCCATCACATTCCCTTCCAATCCCCAAATCACCTAATTCTTTCTTCTTGAAACCCTAATTGGGAATTGAGTCAATGTATTCGCTTCCGAAATTGGGGTTTCAACAAACACAATCAATCAAGGGTTTCTAAATCTAAACCCTATGATGTTTGGATACTTCGCTAGCTTTGATTTCGTAAGTATTCCTGTTTTTCATGGATCAATCGTATCGCTCTACCTTATAAGGTAATCCAAGTTATATATATATATATGATATAGACACAGGCACGCGCATATACATATTATTTCTCTATATTTATAACATAATTTGAGAATGAAACATCCGAAGAAGAAGAGGAGGTCGCGAGCTTCAAAGCAAGTCGGTGGCAGTAGCGGTCCACATGAGGAGAAAAACGAAGAGAGTAAGGTTGTCAACAGCTTGACGGAGGCGTTTGAAGCTTCTTCTCTTGAAGAAGCCACCACGGCGTATCGGGAGGCCAAAGGGGACCCGAATAAGGCGGCTGTGATTCTCGGAGGCTTGCTGGAAAGCGCCGACGGTCAGAATAGTAGCTCGTGCTCGAGTTTGTGTGGGAGTTCCTCCTCCAGCTCATGCACGTCAGAGGTGTTTGCAGAGAGCAACTGTGGTCAGAATATGGTTCATGGAAAGGGTTTTAGAGGGAAGAACAAGTCAAAGAAGGTTGTTGCAGCTACAGGGACTGTTTCGACCCTTTTGTTGAGGGATTATGTTGTGCGTAGCCCAAGAAGAGATTCAGCTAAATCAAAGGGGTATATCAGTGGAGCTGTGAACAAAGAAGACGCGGAGCAGTTTTTGTGCTCGATGCTTGGAGACGACTGCGATCTGAGCATGGCTGTGGTTAGAGATGTGCTGTGTGAGTTATACATTCATATTTATACTTTTTTTTTTTTTCTTTAAGAATTTAATATGATGGTAGATCTTGTGATTTAAAAGTAAATTAGTGAGTGGATTTAATATTCGTATGGAATGTATATACAAGGCTACAGTCATTATGAAAATAGGTGGTTTTCTTCTTTGCAATTCTGCATATCATATGTAGCAGGAGAAAGCAATGGTTTATGCAAATTATTGTGCTATGCAATGAGCCATAAATTTGAGGTAGGGGGGCCGGGTTTGTACTATGTAATTAAAGTTAGAAAATTTTATACATCAATTGTAAAAATTCTTAAATTTGAACTTTTAAAAATTTAGTTAAAAGAGTCCAAGTTGTAATATTACTAAATTCAAGGAGACAAACTAATTTTATTTTCAAATTCTCTATTTTGGGTCAATATATAAGTGTTTTGAAAAAATTGGGGGGCCAATTAAAATTGTTAATGAATTTTAGGGCCAATACCTACAAAGTAATTAATATTTAGGGGTATAAATGAAAATTTCAAGAAAGTTTGGGGGGCCCGTGGCTCCTGCTGGCCCACCTCTAGCTCCGCCCCTGCAATGAGCTCTAAATAGACATGCACTGGTAAAAGATTGTGTCAAATATAGGTATTATACAGGTTTGAGTTAGGGGTATTTATCAAACATGAACACTAGAGGTTGTTAATTTGCTAAATTATCTGAAATGCATTATCAATTGGTGACTATGTTACATTGCAAATATATTAGCTTGATCTAAAGAGGGAATGGTGTAGGGAATTGCTTGTAGAAGAGTATGATTATCTTTAGTTGAATAAGTATGAAAAACCAAGGAAATAGACAGGTGAAATATAATAGTGAAAGAAAGAATATAGGGAAGAACAAATTGAGGTGTCAGAAATTGGAATTTCATTTTTTTGTTCTGTTTTGTTATTGTTTTTCCCCCTATTCTATAAGAATCTTTAGTTGTAATTCTATATGCATTAGAAATAAAAGTGAAGACATTTATTTTTGAAAGATCACACGTCTCTCTACAGCTGATGTTTCACTGGTATCATTTTACTTGTACTTCCATTATTGTCTGTCATATTGTTGTACTCCTGCCTCTGTTAAGTTATTTATTTATTTTTATCTTATTTATCACCTGCATGCACAAAGACCCTGGTATATGCTAATTGAAATTTAAGATATCAGATGCTTTAGATGAACTTCAATGATATATTGCATTACCTGTAAACTTTTCCTTTGCAGGTCAATGTGGATACGATGTTGAAAAGGTGAAATTTCTGACTTGACCATGCTTCAATTTGAAGTTGATGCTTTTTGCCCTTTTTGAGGTCATTATTGGTTAGTATTTATATACTTGTCTTTTGCTTAAAAGTTAAGACTTACTAGTGCCTATCTTCATTGAGCAAATAATTCGGATAATGACAGATCATTATCCCAAGTACTGGTATACTACTTTGAGAATTTAACTCTTGTTTGGAAACTTAATGTGCAAACATGTCATCTCTCCCTGTCTGAATCAATAGTTATAGAGGGATGCTAGCCACAGCCGCGCAAGCGACTGTGGCAGCACAGTTGCTCTTGTATGCATGACGCGTGGATGTACGTTTTTCAAGAACTGATTACTTGTCTAGTCACTTTTTTGTTTGCATCTTCTATTCACCTGTAATTACTATTATGCCCTATCATATAAGTCACTATCACCTTCCTTTGCGTTATCTAGTGAACTCATCAAAGACATCAAATTAGTTCTCTGATATCTTTCACAGTAGTACAAGTCTTTGGCAAAGAGAAGAACCGACTAATACAGAGATAACATTACACAATCGAAAACCTAAAAAATTAAAGACCAATGAGCTATGATTATTAAATTGCACGACAAATCAAGTTATAGAGTTTTTGCTGAAAGCCTAAAATATTGAGTGTGTGAAGTTGAGGGACCAGACGATTTTGGTGTGCGGATCGGTTGAGTCCGGAACCCGAGCTAGAGACTCTACTGAAATCTTCGCCTGTCGGCGATTGCAATACTTGTTTTTTAAATCCATTTTTAAATCCATCCCTCATCGTTGATAAATAAATCCATCGTCGTTCCATTCAAATCTTTGCTTCACCTTTTCCATCACGGAGTTAAGGTTTCATAAAGCGAGGTTAGAAAATCAGGTCTGTGCTTCAAACAAACTTTCAAATCTGATATTTGAAAATGTCGGGTTTTTAGAGAGAGGACATAAATTTCTTCCTTGGTACTTTTTTTTACTGTAATTTTTAGGACAAAATGGTAATTGAGTTGAATAGAAGACCCAAACAAAAAAGTGATTAGATAAGTAATTAGCTCTTGGGAAACTACTTCCACGCATCATACGGTTAGGAGCGACTGTGATTAGCAAAGCCCATAGTTATATTATCCCTCTGGGCAATGATTTAATGCGAGTAATGTTACTTCTCACTCGTCCTGGTGTTGGTCTTTCTTGGTATGGTTCCTCCATGGTTTTTGATTGGGGTCTAGATAATTTCTACATTAGGTTACTTGAAGGTGGAGTTTTGAAGGGGGAAAAAAGTTGTTCTAAGTGCTTCTTTAATTATTAATTTTTTTTTTTCTTCTTAGGGCTTGATTTTGGGCCCCGTAAGTTGTGAAAGTCTATTGGTTTTGTTGGAAATTGCATGAGTCTGCTAAACAAAAAGATTATTGCAAATTTCAGCCAATTCAAGTTTCAGTTGGATGCTATCAGATTTCCTACTTTGTGATACATAATAAAGATTATGCTTTGCGGTTATAAACTGCAAGCTACAGTTAAATTTCATTCTTATTTTTCCCTTTTCTGTGAGGTTTAACCTGTCAACATACCAGAAATTATCCTTGTCCATGTTGTGTATTAAAGCTATACAAACCTATGGAGCTCCTTTTGAAGACTTGATTTGTTGGGTTCTTGAGATTTTTATCCGACATCCTTGCAAATTGTTTTCTATATTTTTAATCCTGTCATCCCCATCATTGCTGGCATCACCTATAGAGCTGACCTGCAGTCCTCATCTACTTAACTCCATGACCAACACCTATGATTACAGCCATCATCATCAAAGCCTTTTCACTACTGCTTCTGCTTCCACCTCGAGCCATTTCACTACTGCTTCTGCTGCTTTCTCCACATCATCATTGCTGCTGCCTATGTGACTCTTCAAAAGTAGTTAAGTACCCGTGTCGGACACATATTGCTCAGACATGGGTATGGGATATGTGTCCGACACTTTTAGCTGGACATGTACTGAAAAAGCATATCCAACCATTCAATTATATTGTATTATTACTTTAAAGTGAGTTAAAAGCCTACATTGAACACTATACTAGACAAAAACATTCGTTTACTCTATAAAATACAATAAACTAACTAAATAAAATGAATATTTAGCAGTGTCTGTGTGTCCTTCTATTTAGAAATTTGACACATCCGACGCATGGATACATACCCGTACTGACACATGTAACCGAGTCCATGTAACATAGCCAGCTGCTACTCCACAGCCGTCACTTTTTTCGTCTTGTAGATGCAGAAATTGCCTTTTGCCTTTGAAGTATGCTTCTTTGTAAGGCGAGCAAGAAAATATATTACTTGTCTCACTTGTCAGTTCCTTTCTTACATAGCTCAGGTAACCAGTGACAGTTATTATTTATGAGATTAAGTGTGCAACAGAGTAGTTCTATTTCTGGCTTTCTTGAGGAAATGTCTTCGTTGACTTTATGATATTCTGATCTTTTTGATAGGTGTGCTGGATATACTGTTGCAGTGAGTAGAATTTTGGTAGGATACAACAAAGAAACTTTGTTATCTTCTAAGTCTTGATTATGCATCTCTCCAACATCCATTGTCCATTGAGCTAGAATTTCTACTTGAATTCTAGCTGGAATTTTTTTATGATTAATGTTTTGTAATTGCTAAAGTTATCTTTAATAGTTTAATGTGATTTTGTAGTTCTTGTCTTCTGAACTTCTCTTTGCCTTCACATAATTTTTAGTTGCAGAGTTCTATAATTAATCTTTTCAGTTATAATTCAAAATTCAATATTATATCTTAGAAAGTTCACTGGATATTATAGTAAGAGTTACGTAACATGTTACTTATAAAAAAAAAAGAGTTATGTAACATGTTGCCAGACCCCTAAGTTATGGGTTGTGGTGCAATAGTATGGTGAATCAATGGCACTGTGAGAGGGCCGGTTTAGATATTGTAAGTTTTTACCTTAATTTATATTTTGAAGTTAACTGAAATAGATGATCACCATTTAAGTATTGACCTATTAAAAGAATTTTTGTCTTAATATATTTGTTTTTCCAGGCTTTGAATGCATTGCTTGAATTATCTGCCTATGAGCAGTCCCATAATGGTCAATCCTCTGACTGCAGTGCAAACAGTAAAGAAGATTGTCGATCCCCTCTTGAATTCAGTGACAATGTAAGTTACATTATTTTTGTAAATTGATCTTGTGATGGGACTTTTTGTTGTCTGCATTTATTTTAGTTCAAGAATAACTTTGATATTCTGATTTTTATTTTCTGTATATATATATATTGTCAGCTTCAATGGATCAGAGTGGTAATAGTTGTAATACTTATAATTACATGAATAAAAGTTGAACAAGTAAAAAGGTGTAATGATAATGTATTGCCTTCTTTTTTTATTTTTTATTTTTTATTTTTTTTAACCTAGTAAAATAAATCCAAATGAAATTGATGTGCTGATGATGGTTATATATAGAACTGAATATTATACCTATTAAAAATTTAGTTTGTGTTAACAACCATCTACTCTAATGCTTCCTTTTTGTTGGAGGGATGGAAAAATGGATGGAAGGGAGAGGGGAAGGGATGGATGTGGCATCCTAGGGAAGGGAAGGTGTCTCCCACATTTTTTGTATGATTGGATGGAATGGATAGTAGAAAGGATGGATGTGGTGACATCTTTTTTTTGTTTGGTTGGAAGGAAGGGAAAGAGATATTTATATTGTTTTTACTAATATAACCTAATTGTATAAAATAGTAAATTTTTTATATCCATTCCAAATTATGGAACAACAAGGTTAAAAATGGAAATTAAAAAATTGTTGGTTATTGTCCTATTTTCTCTCTCCTCTTCCTTCCCAATTTTAGGCGGATAGAAAATTACAAAGGAAGGAGGGATGAAGCATCCCTTCTCGCTTCCTCCCTCTTTTCCCTTCCTTTCAACCAAACACAAAAAACTTCTTTTATCCCCCATCAATCATTCCCTTCAACCAAACATAGCATAAAAGCTTAAGCTGTTAGAGAGGGTGTAACTTTAATATTTAAATCTTTCAACACGCCCCCTCACGTGTGGCCTTTTTTTGGTCCAACACGTGTTTCAATTTTAAATATTAGGGTGACGATGAGGTTTGAACACAGGACTTTGCACTTATCAAAAAAAAAAAAACATAGGACTTTGCTCACTCTAATACCATGTTAACAACCGTCTACTCTAAAAGCTTAAGCTGCTAGAGAGGGTGCAACTTTAATATTTAAATCCTTTAATAGTTTGCAAGGGATTGTAAACAAGTAAATGAAAGGCACAATGGTTCTCATTTATGTAGAAGACTGGGATCTTGTTTTTCGAGCCCGAAGAGGCTTTGTGATCTTGTGTTGTTTCAAGCTTGTAGAAACTTTATAATAATGATATTTTATTGGTGATATATACAACATGCTGATCATGGACAGTTTTTCAGCCCTAAGACATCACAAGATTGGTGTGGCTTTGCGACTTACATTAAGTGTAAGTTGTATGTAGATGGCATACATTTTGCAGTATTCTATCATAGTTATTTTCTTTGATTTGTCATTTTTTGTACCGACATCAACATTTATATCAGTATCTCCGTTGCTATCTACTTAAACTTTTATCCTTGATTTTCTTTGATTTTTTTATCTTCCTTGTCTTAAACTATACCTGTCATGATTAGAGTTATATCGCTTACTAAGCTGAGGTTTTTGGGTGATTTATATCTATGGTGGAGGATGGGTCTTGGCGCATCGGTAAGGTTGCTCCATTGTGACCTGGAGGTCACTGGTTCAAAACAAGGAAACAACCTCTCCACATGTAGAGTTAAGGCTGCGTACATCTGATCCTCCCCAGGCCCCACACTAGCAAGAGCCTCGTGCACTGGGCTAACCCTTTTTATCTATATTGATGGTGCATATGATCCTTGGCGAAGCTTTATAAGCTGGGAGGGGAATATAATCAGTTCTTAAGAAATAGTTCACTTCTTCGAGCCCTTTATTTTTCCTGTTGTATGATACTGTCAAAGATTTAAGGAGTAAATGCATTGAGTCATTGACTTTAGTGATGTGGAAGTCCAATTTTTGTCCCTTCTTTGACATCTACAGATGCTCTCTTTAATCTGCTGATATGCTGTTGATGAATTTATGAGTTTCCTTGTTGAGATTTTCAGTTTTCATTTGAAATATCTTATGATATTCTCATTTGTTTGGAAATTTTCAATATAATTATAGTGTCTTGATTTGATTTTGCTTGGCTGCATTGATAGGTTTAAAATGCTGACCTCTTAAGCTGATTTGTGAATCTTGGCGTAACGAGGCAGTTTTTGATTAAAATTTACTTGCTTTGATTCTTAGCATTGTATCCCGGAAAGCAATCCCTGTAGAATTTAGTCCCTTGTGCTAAGTTGAAATGGAAAATGCATTCATTGTATGTTAAATCCCTGGTTGGTTCATGACTAATGTTACAAGGCTTGCAAAAATATTAAGTTGATTACCTTTCAAATATATATATATATATTAAGTTGATGATCTGCTTGTAATGAATGTATTGTGATTATGAAAATTTTCTGGCAGCTAACTGATAGGGCATCCGACACAACTTCTCATTCTTCTGAGAGCGAACTTCTAGATAATATGTGGCCCATGGGCTACCGTGGCAGGTAACTCTAAATTGTTGATGTTGCTGCTCTTTCCTTTACATATTTTTTTTCCTGGCTGAATTTTTTTTTTAAGTGGATGCCTTTGTACTGCTGTGGGCATGGCATAAAACCATTAGGCATGGAACTTTAAAAAGGAGAGTTGGGATTTGAACATGTTCTGAAACGACTTTGTCTTATTCAAAAATGGCTCATTGAAAATATTTAAGTATTGCAGATATTATGATGGAATTCTTCAAGTATTACAAACACACACAGTCCTTTTTCTTAACTTATATATATATATATATATTATTTTTACTTAACACGGGTGGAGGAGTATGGAACTCCTAGTACAAATATGGTTGGAAAATAAATCTATACAAAGGCTTAAGGTAGGGATGACGGCAATGGAGAATATTGAGTTAATAAAGAGTGCCAAAGAGCTTTGTACTTGTCTTCCCTTTGCTCCCTCTTTCAAATATCCTCATGTTCTCCTCCCTCTCTACTCTCTTGTGCATTTTCCCCCTATAATCAAGAGGCTTGAAATGTTTTTTTGTATCATTTCTCTCTCTGTCTTCTTAACTTTGAAAAACTTTGATCTTGGTTCATCAAAGCCTCAAAGCAAAGGCTTTGTATAGCATACTTTTGAATTTGTTGGAATAATAATAAAAAAAAAATCATAAAATAAAGGAATGGAAATTTTGTAACTTAGAATATAAAGAATTATTTAAGATGATTAGAACATTACAAAAGGATAAGTGGTAAATTGAAAGTTTAGAGAGAAGCTTCTGAATGAAGAGGGTTTAAGATAAGACTCAAACTGAATATATAAATGTAATTTTAGTAAAACTAGAAACACAAACGGGAGTAGTGAAGACTGAGGGTAAATTTTTTTTTAAAAAATGAACATTTTCGTAATTTGACTCAATTATGCAACGAGGGAGAAATCGAATTGATATTTGTTAGGTGTATGAGTCATGTGTCGGTAAACTCCTACTTAAAACTTCTGTTGTAATAATTTGACTCAATTATGCAACGAGGGAGAAATCGAATTGATATTTGTTAGATGTATGAGTCATGTGTCGGTAAACTCCTACTTAAAACTTCTGTTGTAATGTGTTAAAATGTCTTGAGTTGTTGGGGGTACATGTACATCCGCTGAAGACAAGGAGACACACGAATGCAAAGAATATGATGTGAAATTTGAATCCTCATTCACATCTCTTGGATAGGTAAATTGACCCTAGAAAGACCTAAATTGGCCTAGTTTGATCTAGGTGAGGTTTATAAATCTACTATAAATTTGTTCTGAAAATGGCTTTTCAAAGTTAAGGTCTTTAACACATTTTTCAAAACTATGTTTTAGTCTAAACATCAGTGTGCGTCAAGATCGATTGGCAGTTGTCAGTAGCCATCAATTGAGTTTAAAACTGAAAACTATCTTCAAAACCAGTATCCATCGGTCAAAGCATTGATCACGAGGGGTATCTAATAGACTTTGATCAAGGGGATGATCAATCGAACCCGACTTCTGTACACAATTTCACAAGGATTCTACTTACTAAAATGTTCCGGTCTCCTATATTAGCTATAAATATAGGGTTATAGTCAGTCTGGGTATGATATCGAAGTCTAATCATGTATAGAGAGAAATTATTGTGAGAGGAGAATTCCCAAATTACTAAATCTAGGGTTTCCATAGATTACACCATATGTGATTGAGTGTTCGTGAAGGAGGAATTCAATAATCTGATACATATCAAGTAATGAATTGTCACACCCAAAAAAGGGCAATCTATCTTTTGATAAGTGGATTTGTGAAGAGTAAAGTCTGTTGACAATCGGATCGTGTGTGTCTGGAGACTCAAGGAGAGTTTGGTGGATCGATCTGTGTGTAGAGATAAGTAGGGGTTCTTTGGTGTGGGAACTGTTAACCTGGTTCTAGTCTCTTTTTGAACAGTCGATTTTGATGATCAAGGTTCTTAAAATCGCGATTCTAGGTCGTAGATGATTCTACGATCCTATACCCCAAAAACTAGTTGAATCGCATGAAAATCGTTCGTTTGGGTAGAATCGGGGTAGAATTGTACGATTCTACTGTTCACTTTTTATTTATTTATTTATTTATTTTACTTTTTTGGTTGTTTGATTAATTGATTTCTTAACAGTTTTGATATGCATCATGCATAGGTATTTGATTAATTGATTTTCTGTTATTGGTTTTTGAGTTTTAAATTTTGATTTTTGGCTCTGCTTCTATCCTGACTTCTGTACAATTTTTTTTTTTTTTTTTGGTTCTGCTTCTGCTTCTGTTCTGACTTCTGTGCAATTTATTTTTGTGGTTCTGCGTCTGTTCCATACGTTTCTGTTCTGCTTCTGTTCTGAGCTTTTGAGAATTGAGATTGTGCAATTTTTTTTTTTACTGTTATAACTTCTATACTTGTATATAAAAAAAATTCCAAAGTTTATCAGTTTATGACATTATGTTCTGTTTTTAAATTTGAACATTCTACTCTGAGCTTTTGAGAATTGAGATTGTGCAAGCTGTTCTAACTTGTATTCTTCTATTTTTAGAATTTTTCCAAAGTTTATTAGTTTATGACATTATGTTCTGTTTTTAAATTTTAACTTTCTACTTTGTGTTGTGAGAGCTCTACCTTTTTTGTTCTCTTTTATATTATATATGGACTTTGGAATGATACTTTTATACATACATACATACATACATACATACATAGATACATACATATATATATATATACATACATACATACATACATATATATATATATATATATATATTTGTGTTTTGGCCTTATTCTTGCTATATTTTACACATATTATTGTTTAAATAGTGAGTTTGAATTGTTTTTTTACTAGTTGGTAGAATCTTACGATTCTCGATCCGGTTCTACGATTCCGATTCTACGGAGCCCAAAACGATTCTACATAGAATCCCGATTTTAACAACCTTTGTTTGGATTAGGTCCTATGGTGTTTTCTGATGGCCTTTCCACTTAGACATTCTTGCGTCTCTGCTTTACTTTATGTTTTTATTTTCTGTTAATGCATGAATGATAGAATTAAAAATTAATTGATATAAAACTATAATTTAATATTAATCATCATAACAAACTGAATTTCAGAAAGGGTCAACAACAATTTGAAAAATATAGTAAGTGAAAAATGATATTGATGAGACATTTTCATCTAAGTTAAAATTACGCTTGTACTCTAACGTACCAGAGTCCTAGGTAACGTCCAATGCACCCATCAATGTTAATCATACAATTGAAGTAGGTTGGGTTAAATGGAAGAGTGCACCATATTGTATAGTTAAGTGCAAAATAATATTCATGAGACCTATTCACTCCTCTCTAGGTCAAAATCACTACTTGTACTCTTATTTATCGGAGTTTTGGGTAATGGTCCAACGCAGCCATCAATGTTAATTATACAATTGAAGCAGGTTGGTTTAAATGGAAGAGTTCAACATATTATATAGTTAAGTGATAATAATATTCATAAGACCTATTATCTTCCCCTCCAACCCAAACACGCACAAAATGTCAGAATTACTACTTGTACACTGACATAGCAAAGCCTTGGGTAACAGTTCAAGTGTACCAACATACCCATTAATGTTAATCATATAAGTGAAGTGGATTGGGCTATATGGAAGAGTGCAACTAGGGTGACAATTCGTGTTGGCGGGTTACATGGTTCAACTCGAACATGACCCGTTTAATAACCGTGTCTTGACAACATCACGACCCATTTATTAAACAGGTAATACAACACAACATGTGTAATTCGCTTAATAAATGGGTCCTGAGAATACGACACTACCCGTTTAGTAATTTGTTTAACCAGTTTAAATTTAATGGGTCATGTAACCCGTTTATTAACTTTAATATAAAATGCAAATATAATGAAAAAATGAGATAATGGATGATTAAATTCATGAAATGAGGATAATTGAAACAATATAATTACAAAAAAAAAAAGGACCTAATACAGGATATATTGAGTTTATATCGAAATAATAAGAATGTCCATAATTAATGGGTAAAAGCACCTTAGGGGTTAATCGTGTTGAACTGACACGATTAGTTAAATGGGTCTAATTGGATTGAGCTCCAAAATACAAACACAACACAATTAATCAAACAGGTTAAGCGTGTTGGCACGATTATGACATGAACACGATTAAGGTCAACTCAAATCCACCAACTTCATGTACTGTTGAATTTTGCCACTCCCAAGTGCAACATATTGTATGATCAAAGGTATACCTTTAAACTTGAAATGTACATTTATAAAATATAATTAGCTATTAGATTAGGTATAATTTACAAGACAAGGTGTTGAGCAGCTAAGTTATAAAATGTGCGTAGCACAAATGGGAATGTTGATATGAATGTGTGGTTAGACAAGAATGATAAAATTAGAAAGGAAAATGTGTGAGATGGTTAACGTAGCACCAATTATGATTATTTGGTTATATACAACAACATTATCAGCTGCACTGGTGAAGAAAAGGGATGTGGTCAAATTAAGGAAATATTGGGGAAATGGGAAAAATAAAATAACATGGGTTGAGATAATTGGGAAAAAATATGAGAGCTTGCGACTTAGTTGAGGTTATGACTTTAGACAGAGTGGAATGACATACAAGATTCATGTAATTGACTTCAAATAGTTGTTTAAAGGTTTTGTTAAGCTGATTTGAGAATATAAAGTATAATTCCATAATGTCAATGTGCATCTGATCCAGCCTGTTTGATAACCTTTTATTATAGATTAAAACTTGGGTGATTCTTGGTTTGAGGTTCTATAAATTTAAAAGCTTTAACAAGATTCATGTGATGTACATTGTATAATGTTACAATTATAAAATAAGTTTAAATGCTTAAATTGGCATATGTATTTATTTGTTATCGTGCCGCATGGCACTATAGAAAGTCTAGGAATTCTCATTTTCTACTGACCGAGATTAATTTTCATTCTTCTGTATTAATGATTTTACAATATGGAACCATTTTTTAGGAACTTGCCTTTTATGGTTTTTGAAAAAAAAGAATAGGAAAAAAAAGAGGTCATTATTGTTTTGTTGTTTCAGGAATTATTATGAGGTTCTAATTGGTTCTGAAGTTCATTCTCCACCTAGCCCCAGAAGTTCCGAGTCAGAACTTCCACAAAAGGTGTTAGATTCTTTGTTTAACATATCAAACAGTACTGAACATGAACCGAACAGTATGAACTGGAAGAATGTAGTAAAGAAAATGGAGTCACTGGGACAAAGGTTTGAGTTTCACACTTCTGGTGCTGCAGAATCACAGGAACTCATCCATGGTATTTAACAGTTATTGTGTAATCTTAAGTGGCAGTTGCATATTCTGGGTTTATTTTACCATATTTCTGAAAAATTATACTTTTTATGTTGTTTTGTTTCTTTAAAGTGTCATCTTCAGCACAGTGGTAAATTGTGTTAGGAAGTTATTGAGAGTGTATAGTTGCACAAAAAATTGTATAAAACAAAAAGGAAAAATATTTTTTTGGCCCATTCCTCTAATTATTCCTTGCAGTGGACTTGAGAATGTAAATCAACCGAATCAGTGCCACATGCACAAGCTCAGCAACAAAAACAAAAAGGATAGCAACAACTAGACTGAAATTTTTGTTTGCTCAGGTCTTGAGATGAACTTCTCCTCTATTTAAGAGGATATAATGCGTATATGCTATACATGTTAAAATCATTTTTTCCTGGTGAGCATCTAAATATGCAATCCACTATTACACGCACCTTTTTTTTGTGAAAAATGTTTGTTATGATTAGCCACATCTCTCTCTATCTCTCTGTCTGTCTTAACTTTACAAGGCTTAACAAATTATTGGATCTACATCTTTACATTCAACTTATCCTGGAATTGTAGCTAAAGGTGATGACTATCAGATGTTCAGAAAATCTGCAATGCAGCACTGGGATTCCATGAAATCCTACTATCAGAAGGTAAAATGAAAGGTTTGTTTATGCATTTTTTGTTTATGATTTAGAGAAAAATACATCTTTTAACTAATCAATAAAATGGTACAATGTTCTGCAGGCTACATCAGCATATTTAAATGGGGAACGGGAATATGCAGCTTACCTTTCTGACCAGGTGTGTGTGTGTGTGTGTTGTGTCTACGATCACATTTTGAATATCTTTAGTTGTTGGATCGGTCTGTTATATATTTATATATTTGTTTGTAGTTATATTAAAGGGATCTGTGACTCGCACACATGGTACATCAGCCACCTCATATACGAGTGATTGACTGAAGTTGCTAGATATTTTTCCTTACATTGTCTAGCCAAGAGAGCATAATGCAAATGATTAACAAGAGTACATTACTCTTGCAGCCTATATAGGTGTACATTCATTTAATTTTTCCAATTGGTTTACTTTTATATATGTGAGCAGGTTCACGATTGACGTATTAGTGGATGAAAATGAGACATTCCCATTATTGACTTTTAGTATCATCTTATGCCTATGTGCTCCATTATCTCTTACTTGGATTTGTTGGGAAACTTAAATGCTTAGAGGTCTTAAGCATTGATGTTCTAGCATGAGTCATATATGTTGAATTTCAACATGAGTTGTTGATCTGTCATGGCCACAAAGAAAAGTTAGTTGAGATCAACTAAAGGTTTACTGCATTTGACTGGGGAAAGTTCATCATATTTGACTCTCTCTTTCTCTACGTTGCTTTAGGGAAGGTCATGCAATAAAATGGCTCGAGAGGCAGATGAGAAGGCAAGCCAGGAGATTTTTAGAGCCAGGTAGGTCATTGCACATTATAGGGGGGAAAATTGTTTTACTTTCTTCACCTCTCTGTAGTATTCGATGAACTTAGCTGTCATTGGGATGTTGCAGAAACAAGAGCATACAAAATGTGATAACAATTGATCTCCATGGACAACATGTGAAACAAGCGATGAGGCTCCTAAAAGTTCACCTGCTATTCGGGGCATATGCTTGCTGTAAGCATCCGGTGCATCCTTAATATAAATTACTCAAATCTTTGTTCTTGATCTTGCATTAAATAAGCTTAGTTCTGCTGGCTTGTAATTATGTAACATATTTTTCCCTTCTTGGCTGTAGCGGTTCAATCTTTTAGGGTTATCACAGGATGTGGGAGCCATGGTGTGGGGAAGTCGAAGCTGAAACAGGCGGTATGACCTGCCCACTTCTTTGCGTTGTGTTTGTCTCATACTTCCAAAGTTGGTGTTTATGAATTTTTGTATATAGGAGCATGTGAAATAGGGTCCCAAAGTTGAAAGGAGTGAATTCATCTTGTGTTGTATATGTATTAAATTTTATGTTTCTGTTTTTTGGTTTTGATTCTCTCTTTTCTGTCTTTATATATATATATATATATGTATGTATGTATATGTATTATTTTTTATTAAGCAGAGGGTGTCCCCACCCCTTCGGGGGTGGGACTATTCCTTTCAGTTTACCTGCAATAATCCAAAACTACAGCCTACAGTATTGAGTAAGCCCAGGGTGGAGGCTTGACGCTGCCATAAGTTTAATACAAGACCTCTAGGTCGTGCCAGAGGCCTTATGCCAACTCGGCTATGCCGTGAGGGTTGGATTTGCTTTGATTATGCAATAACTTGCCAGTTACTTCATGTAGGTGATTAATCTTGTCCAAAAGGAAGGCATTGAATGTAACGAAGAAAACAAGGGAACCTTGCTGATCAGACTTGATGGACAGAGAGAGTTTAGCTTTCTGGAGACCGAGAGTGATTCCGAGTAATCTTGCTTTGGTATGGTTGCTCATTATCAATAGTAAAGGTATTTGCATGTTTCGGGCAAGGTAAAAATTATGGCCTGGATCTAAATTCTGGGATCTGTGTTCATGGCCCCATAAATTATGGTCTGGAAACCATCTCAGGCTTTCTTCTCACCGTAGTTTGTACACTAATGCTCTCTAGATAATTTAGGGGAGGTGTAGTGTTGAAGGCCAGGTTTTAGACTTTCTGTTCTTTGTACAGATTTTAGATTTGATTCAGGCCTTGTACAAAATCATGTATATTATTTAAACTGTAATGTACCTTGTAGTTGGTGAACTGGGTATCCATCATTTCAGTTATATGAGAAGTTGCATCGGATCTTTAGTTTGGGATGATTTTCTCTTCTATTTGGTTTTTTTTTTTTTTTTTTTTTTCATTTGGTCTAAAATTCATCTCTGCAGCCAAGTTAGTTGTGTCAGCGTGGAATCATAAGATACTTCTTTTGCTGTTGAGCTTGAAGATAGCCAAAAAGAAGTAAAGATTTCAGTATCTGGATGATGATTTGTTGGCGAATTTTATTTTTTTTTAATTGCCAAGAAACACTCTCATTTTATTTTTTTTAATCGGCAAAAACACTCTCATTTGGTCTACGGTGACTTGAATCCTGGACATTTTACTTTAGAAGGCAAGGAAGTACAACACTTCACACGAGTAGCTTTGCAGGTCTGCATCTCGTTAGGAAAACACCTTAAGCTTTATATAATTTCCGAGTGAGTGTAATTTAACTTGCTGAGTTTAAACTAATATTTGATTCAGTCACTGTGGAGTGTAGATCAAGAACAACTAGTCTAATGGTGGTGTACTTTTAGCAATAAATGAGTTGTAAAAGAACAATTAGCTTGCATGGGCTCATGAACCTGCAACTTGTTTGGATTTTTTCTTATAATTTCAACAATCTTCTTACCTACTAAAAAAGTAACAATAGTTTATACGGTTGCATAATTTTTTTTTTTTGGTTGAACTGAACTTTTTAAAAAAGTTGAATTTTTCAAGATCAACTTTCTACAGCCTGAATTGAGGCTAGGAAAAAATAAAATAAAATCTGAATTGAGCCGAAATAGGTCTACAAGTCAACAATAATGATTAGATTTGAATAAATGAATGGATTTGAAATCAAAGGAATTTGAGTTTATATTAAAGAATGACTACTGAAATTGAAATTCAAAATTTTAATTTTTATATGAAAATAAAGAACATATAAAATGAGATACATAAAAGGCATAATTTATAATTCAAGATGAAACATAAGATGTACAAAATGAGATATATATAAAATAATGAAAACAGTAAAATAAAAATTCACCTGAGATGACGATAGAAAAATGACATTTGACCTGATGAGTTTAGATGTAAAGTACTAGTTAAATGCTTGTTTACGTCCAATTATTTAAAATGCTTTACAATTATTATTATTATTTTTTTCTTGACAAATTAGGTGATAAAAGACTCAAAACACCCCACTACATAATGGTCAGGAGGCTTTGCCTTGAAATGATAACTTTCAAGTTTCACCCACCTAAAATGCCAAAGGGTAAATGTATTTTCCTTTCCTTCAAGGAGGGAAATATATAAAAATAATAAGAATTTTTACATATAAATATACTTATGGGTTCACATTTACACAGTCAAGATTTCGTAATTTCATAAAAGTGAAGTTGGCCCAAATATTAACGTGTTCATGAAAATTTACTTTTCATTTTAATTTGTTACCTAAATAAAATACTCTTTTTACTTTTTGAACCAAATTACGTTTTTCCCCCCTTTCTCTCTCCTCTCCTCTCCTCTCCTCGTTCTCTTTCTTCTACTCTCATCATACCAAACAATTCACAGGGCTCTCCTATGAAGGCAAAAGCTTGAGAAAATACATATTTTTCTTTTCTCCCAATCAGATCTGCTTCCAGTCCTTCGTACTCTCACCCAACACCTATGTACAGCACAAGCCAGTACTAACACCCCTAACTGCATTATAAACATGGCCATCAAAATCCCACCGACTTTATCATCAAAAGGCTACATTTTTCTTTTGTGAACATGGCTAAAATGCAGAGTAATTGACCGATTGACGAGGCAAGGATGAGGGAAACATGGGTTATGAAGCAAAAGTGGGTGATCTGAGAGTAGAAACCTACAAAAGATGAGACAAGTGAGATGCAGGAGACCATGAGGACTGCCCAACCCAGTGAAGTCGGTGGCATTTTCAGGACAGCAATGGGGGCAATAGAGGCTGCAGAGATGATGAAGAGAATGAAATTCAAACATGAGAGGAGAAGATTTGGGGAGGAACAAGATTTTCTGAGCTTAGAGGAAGCCGTTTGGTGAGGATTCATAGGTTGGGCGAGTGAGTTTCAGATCGGCGACACAGCTCGTCTCTGTGATTATGATGAGGCGATCGAGGAGAAAGGGTATATTTTGTGAGAGGGCAGCATGGTAATTTTGTTCAAAAAGTGAAAAGTTATTTTGGATAACAAATTAGACTAAACTTTAACCAAAAAAAAAAAAAAAACAAATTAGAGTAAACAGTGAAGCCTTTAATGTTGTAAGGGTTAATTTCACCAACACTCCCCGTAATTTGGCCAAATATCAGTCTAAAATATTTTTAGAAAATAACTATCACTTAGATTCATTTTCGTTTTTCCGTTACTGTTAAAAAATGAGAAAAGACATGTTTGCTCCTAATTTTTTAATCACATTTATTCCAAAGAATCAGATAACCTAATTACTATTTAATGATTGAAATGATATATTTACCCTCATTCAGATGACATATTTACCCTTCATTGCCATTGAAATCAACTAACCACCTCCCCTTCTATCTTTCTCCTTCCAACACTAAGACCACTCGATGACATCGGATGACTAGGTGACGGCGGCTCTGGCAGACGATGCGGTGGTGGCAGAGCTGTTGTTATCAATGAAGCATTCATCAGAATCTTACGCACCACAGCCACTACAGCTTCCGCCGCTCGGGTGGGGACACCGCCAGTAGCGTTCAAAGCCGTCGGCGAAGAAAGACCGCGACTCCACGAGATGCAGCCCCACAACGCCGCTCTCTTGGAGTGGCGCCACCGCATCTCCCAGTGACGGCTGCGATGAGTCCAGCTAGCCCTCCAATCCCTCTTCCGTCGCCAGATCCAAGGTCTGTATTCGTATCTCTCGCACAATCTCACCTTCCTCTAATTGTTCTCCTTATCTCCGGCGTTGGGTCAGTTTCCGGCCACCTGTTATCGTGTGTCAGATTTCCGGTTAACTGAAACACTCTCACAAGTGAGGCTAATTATTAGATGGACAAGGGGATGAGGAAAATTGGAATTCTGCAATAGTGGGTTTGCTTGTGTGTATAATATATATATATATATATATATATATGAGGAAAATTGGAATCCTCGCCGGTGTTGGTAGGAAAATTGGAATCCTTGCCGGTGTTGGTGGTGGTGTTGTGCTTGTGTGTAATATATATATGTGCGTGTGTGTGTTGGGGTGGTAAAAATGTCATTTGAATACTTAAAAAAATAATTTAGTTAGTCAAATTAAAGTCAAATGAAGGTAAACATGTCATTAAGTGGGTCAAACCAAAGTCAAAGGGTAAGAATGTCTTTTTATATGTAAAAAGTAGTCTGACACACACGTTTGTAATGTAAGTGATAGTTATTTTCGAAAGATATTTTAAACTGATATTTGACCAAACTATTGGGGTGTCAGTGAAATTATCTCATATCGTAAATATGGCCCATAAGTGCACTTATATGTAAAAATCTAAATATATTCAAAAGCTTTTCAACGGCCCATCTTCCAACCACCGTTCATAGGTGAAGAGAGAGAGAGACGACTGTTTGGTGAAGCACCACAGACAGCTTCCTCTGCCACCATTTGGACGCATCAATGGCCGATTCAATCCATAATCTCCAAGGTGACCCACCTAATTTTCTTTTCTCATCAACATATATCCATCATTTTTTAACCTTGCAATTATCTTCAGAATGGAACCAGAATTCCAACACAGCCATGCTGTCTCTGTTGCTTCGCCCTCCAATTCCCACTCATTCGAGGCTCAATCATCGTCTTCTTCACAGCTCCATCAAGAAGAAGAAGAAGAAGAAGAGCGAATTCAACCCCAAGATGAGGACCAATTACACAACCACCACCACCGCCAAGGCCAGATCCGTCAGTCACCGAGTGTATCTTATCGACTAAGCATTTCGATTACTAATTTGGTGCCAATGGACATCAGAGACGACTTGTGGTCTTGTCTCCTTGTGCTTGTCACATTTTGCTTCTTCGGTTTGTTTCAATCTTCTTTAAAGTTCTCTTTCTTTCTTTTCTTTTTTTACCCTAATTGGTATTGTTTTCATGCTGCATTTGTCTTTATTTCCCTCTGTTTGGTTGCCAATAGATCTGGAAGAAGGAAAAGGAATTGAATGGTAATTCGTTCGCAAATAAACTGAACTAGTGAATTTCACCATATTATGTAGTGTTGGTAGAAGTTTTGGCATCCTCCTGATAAGAAATGATGAAAGTTCTAAGATTTTTTTTTTCATAATGGTTTCTTTTTCTTACATTTTCTTGGCAACCAAACGGTTCATTTTTATTTTTTATTTTGAAGTTTTTTGTGTTTAGGATTTATTAGTTATGAGTTGATTTGGCTTTGCTTGGTTGTCAATCTTCTTTAAAGTTTTCTGTTTTTTTACCCTAATTGGTATTGTTTTTATGTTTTTTCACATTTGTTTTCATTGCCATCTGGTTGGTTGCCTAGAAACCTGGAAGAAGGAAAAGGAATTGAATGGTATTTGGTTCGCAAATAAACTGAACTAGTGCCAAATTATGTAGTGTTAGTGGAAGTTTTGATATCCTCTGGATAAGAAATGATGGAAGTGCTAAGATTTAGTATAACAATTTCTTTTTCTTACATTTTCTTGGCAGCAAAATGGATTATTTTTTCTTGCCTTCATTTCTTTTGTCAAGTTTTTGTGGTTAGACTTATGAGTTGATAATGATGTATTAGTTATCTAAAAATGAAATGGAAAAAATTGACTAGGGTTTGATAACTTGATTTGGCTTGGCTTGGCTTGGTTGTGAATTTCTGAAATTCCTTGCCAGCAGTTTCCATGACTGTGATATTTGGCTTTTTTGGATCTGAGAATGTATGGTTGGGCCCCAATTGTTCGCGCCTAATACAAGTTAACCCATACTTCGTGCAGTCGATTAAGGTTACTACCTCTTGTTATCTTAAACTTATTTGAGCTACTAGTTGTCGTATCTTCTACAACAGTTAATGTGTGATTATTTTGTTTGGCTTATAAACAGGTAAAGGAGATAGATGAGTCGAAACATGGGGCAATGCTATTCGCATTTTATGAACCTCCTCCTCTCGATGTCGAAGTCACCTGGTCCGAAATGCATAAAACAGTTATACAGTCCAGCTTTCACAAGGTAATGTTTCTCAAACTGTCTGGTCTTCTTTTCTCTTGTTCTTTCAAATCACACTCATACAACAAGTTTTATATTAATTTCAACTGTTCAGATGTTTGAATTGGTTGGAATTGAATCTAATCTTGTGTTGCAGGAGTGGCAATACTTTCTTAACAAAGGATCTAAAGTTGATATTTCATATAGTGTGAAATCCCCGAATTCTGCACCCTTGTCCCTTGTGATAGCCGAAGGTAAATTTGCAACTTTTGCTCAAAAAATTCTGGCAATACTATGAATACTTCCGTTTTATGGATTAAATTATATGAAATCCCCGAGTTTTGCCCCCTTGTCCCTTGTGATAGCCCAAGGTAAATTTGCAACTTTTGCTCAAAAAATTCTGGCAATACTATGAATACTTCCGTTTTACGGATTAAATTATAATTACCAATTAAATTTCAAGTCAAAAAACTACTTATCAATGTCAAGGATTTAAGCTTTATACCAAATTATGGATACTGGAAAACACTGAATTTTTTAAGAAACTAACAAACTATTTTCACTAGTTCCTCAAAGATCGCTTGTGAGATCATCCAGCTTGTAATAGTTGTTGTGATGTATATGGTGCCAAGCATATAGAGGATAGGTAACTAGGATATGAGTAAGAAAAGCAAGTAAGTAAGCTAAGCTTATTTATTAGCTACATTGTATATGGTTGCGTATTGTTCCCAGAAATTTGCCTAACTATTACATATTGGAATCTTCGGGATTTTGTTCCTGCTCCTGATTGCAATCCTTAATCTCTTATCTACTTCATGTCCAACGCTATTATGTGCTTGACAAATTTTCTTTAGTAAGAACAACACAGCTAAAGAATCTGTTGTTTAAAATGCCTAAATATTGTCATCGGTCTAAGATTGTTGAGACAGACAAGTAAAAGTATATTTAGCTTGTTGGATATTCTAAAATGCATCTATTTTGCTTCACTTTTATTTATTACAATCCTGCAGGTAGAGAAAATCTTGTTGGGTGGATAGAGGATCCATCATATCCTAATACAACCTTGTCTTGGAATATTATTCATGGTAATAAGGGAACTAATAGTTACGATAATTATTATCATTATAAAATTTCATGGAATAGATTTTTAATTTTATCTGTTTCTCTTCACAGGAACTGGTATAATCCACCAGGAAATTTCATGGCCTAAAACATATTATATTGCAGTAGGTAACTTGAACTCCGAGGAAGTGGAGGTAATCATTAAAACATTCACTGTCTCATGTTCTGTTAATTTATTATTTTCTGTGCTTTCTTGAGCTTGTGAAGGTGTAAGAAAGGGGTTAATTTACTCCAGCAGTGTTTTTTTATTTAATATATTGATATATAAATGCTGATGCCTTCAATTTGACTTATCTCACACAATTCTGCATTGGTCAGGTTCAATTGAATTTCACAATAAAGGGGTTACATTATAATACAACCCAGTCATACTACAGCTGCTCCCCGAGTCACCAGTCATGTAGTTTGAAGCTTTTTATTCTGAAATCAAATGTAGCCGTTGTAACTTCCCCTGGTCCAGAACAGGTAAACGACCGTCATTTGTTGAATTAATCAGTTTCAATATCTTTTCTGAAGGAAATGCCTCTGAAATATTTCCCTTGATTATGGTCATTCCACATGTTCCGTGACCTTCATTATTTTGACAGTGAGGTCTAGAAATCATTCTTACAAATCATCAATATTTAAAAACATGACCTTTGATTGTTTCATCAAAATGTTTGTGTGGATTCTATGTATAACATAACCACAAAGTTTTAGATCCTGGCTGGAAGATGGGAGGCTTGCAATTTTTTCTGGCTCCATCACCATTCTGGCATATATCTGGAGGTCGATCAATGCACAACCTTGATTGGTTTCACGGGAATTTTCATTGTTTATTTAAATTAGTCTTTGTTCCTGCTGGTCTTCCAACCTCTAGAGTATGGTGTCCACTGTCCAATCTTTTCTCTTTTTTAGCTCAAAGTCTCAACAACAGATTTGACAGCTAGTAGTGTTGGATCAGTTGATTGTAGATGATGAAAACAACTCTCTGGTCTCATCAAGTGGCTTTTTCCAACTTGAACATCTATGGATGCGGTCAAGAAGAATGGAGAATTGCTTCATTTCTTCTTTCTAAAATAAATGTTCTTCAGGCCCCAATTGTTAAATTTCGATTTTCACCAACGAATTAAACTTGCTTTGCTTATCTCAGGGTGCACCATATGCTGACGGGTTTATCAAACTGTCTTATGTACCACGATGGTTTACATATCTTGTTGGATCAGGTTAATGTCATTCGCTTTCATTTCCTGCCTTTTCCTTCTCGTGACTCATGTATTGGAAAAGTAAACAAATAAATGAATGAAAGGAAGAAAAAAAAAAAAATACCTTTCCTTACATTTATCTGTTCATGCTTGTAGGTTCAATGACTCTACTCATCTTATTGGCCTTCAGAATCTGTAACGTGTTCCAAATTATTAGCAGTGACAGAAGAGCATTTCAAGCAGGGGAGATGGGATTTGAAAGAGCTCCTTTGCTTTCATACAAAGATGACGATCTCTCGAGTTGGGGTTCATCTTATGATTCTCTCTCACATGATGAGGATCAACTAGATGAGTGGCTTTCAGTGGATGCAAAGCTACTAAAAGACGGGGGAAGCAATAGCAGTTCGCGCTGTCTTTGCATTTCATGTTTCGATGCTCCAAGGGACTGCTTTTTTCTTCCATGTGGACACTGTGCTGCCTGTTTTACATGTGGCACAAGGTTTGCAAACTCCATTCTTACTCTTCTGCAAAATCAATATAGGAAAAACCGGTGCTTTATCGTCATCATTGCCTTGAATCCCATTTGGATGGGGTCGGCCACATGAATTCTCTCTCCAATCTATTCTACATTTAACTTTTAAAAGTCATTTTTAATAACCTCATCCCATGTTATTTTTGACGGACCTCTCTGTCTCTTACCTTCTATTATAACTTGTCTTCCTCGTTTTACCTATGCTTGAAACTTTGGGATTTCTCCAACCATCCCTCTTAAAGTAGCAAGAAAATAATGGTCTGAGGTTTGTAACTAATGCCTTGAGTTTATTAAAATTCTGCAGGATTGTGGAAGAGACCGGTACATGTCCCGTTTGTTGCAGGGCAATGAAGAAGGTGAGAAAGATATTTACGGTTTGAGCAGCACATGTGAATTCTGTTTGTGCTAGCATTCCGGAAATTTTACCATGGATGCAAAGGATTTGTGCTCACTGTCGCCCATCAAATTCATAGAGCTGGCTTAGCAAAATCCTAGGCAACTATTTTTCTTTCCCTTCGCCAAGTTGGTCTACCAGCACGTGTGATGATTGTACGCTGGTCGTCCAAATGTGTGCGTAAACTGATGTAGGTTCTACTTGGAGCTAAATTGTTCACGAGCCACAGTTTGTAGTCTTTGATTATTGATTTTGTAAATACCAGTGAGCTTTTCTCATAACTATTAATTCCCAACATTGCTTTCCAGTTGGACAAAAACAGATTTGACTTTGTTGAAAAATATGAAAGCACTGATGCATTGTGATACACCTGTTTTATGTACTATATAAATTGTCAAATGCCTTGGTTTGGTCATAAATTTGAAAGCTTTATGGGTTAGGAATCCAAGTAGGAAGTAGTCCTAGGTTGCAAAATTATTGATGGGTTTGGTATGATTATGACATGTTCTATATGCCATTTAAAATTCAAACCATGCAACAAAGATATATATTGAAAGACAGATATAAACTGTCATGAGACTCTTGGAATGACCGTAACTAGTGTGTATATATTGTCTTCTATATACTTAATTAAAAGTATTAGAAATATAAAAGAGAGAAATTGTATATTGTATTGATATATGAGATACATAGGGATTTATATAGGTAATATGTGTAGAGAGTAAGAAACCTAAACCCTAGATGGTACATATCTATACATGGTTAGAATATATTATCCTACATGGTAAATTTATACATGGTTAGAATATATTATACTGCACAATATAGTAATAATATATTATACGATCAACTATCTTAATTATAACAATTTACATAAATACATTAGAAAATACAGCTCAACGTTGACAAAAAATATTAAATTTAAAATAAATGCACTTGAACATTAATTTTACGGTCAACTATATTAATTATAACAATTTCCTTAAATAGATTACGGAATACAACTCATGCTGACAAAAAATATTAAGTCTAAAGTAAATGCACTTGAATATTAATATATCGTCTTCGATTTTGAATGTGTCACCTCGAAGTCACAATGGACTTGAACATTAATATACTGTCTTCGATTTTGAAGTGTCACCTCGGAGTCACAATTGGGCGAAAGTGCATCCAATTCGATTAGTTCATTTCCTAGTATCATCATATGAGTGTACTAATTAATAATTAATGATTCTAAAGTAAAATTGATATGAACCATCACTAACGATAATATCTTCAATTTAAAAGTTTAAAATTCAAAATTTTATGGCTTCATGTATTCAAAGTAAGTTTAAGTAGATTGATGCTCACTAATCACAGATTCATTTAGGCCCACGTAACATTTTTTTAAACCTTTGTAACCAATTCCGTTGAGGAAAATCAAAATGACCTAATTTTGACTTGTGGCAGAGAGTAGAAGGACCGTTCGTCCGAGTAGGAAACGGAATCGGAGGGTCCTTCGCTCTCCACGTGGCGGAATGATACTGTGGGCCCTACGAGAACACAAATCTTCGTTAGATAGAGAGGAGAGAGAAGAGACGTATCAGAAAAAGACAGTGATCGTCGACGCAATGCTGCACATCGTCACCAAACCAACAAACAACAATGGGTGTGCCTTCCAGGACCACCTCTCGCTCCTCCTTCCTCCGCCCTCCATACTTCATTCTCTTGGCCGTGTCTTCCCTCTCCTTCTTCATCATCTTAGAGGTTACTTTCTCTCTCTATACATATACATATGTTTATATATAAACATGCATGTTGTATTGCTCTTGCTTTTGCTTTGTTTTGTTTTGATTCATTGTCGATTTAATCGAACAGGTGGACCATATATATCTATAAACATGCATATTGTGTATTGCTTCTGTTTTTGATTCATAATTCATTGAGGCATTTGGTTGAACAGGTGTATAGCTTTGTATTTTTATACATGCATGTTATGTTTTATTGCTTTTGTTTTGATTCATTGAGGGATTTGATCGAACAAGTGGATAGCTTTGTATCTGTATGCATATAAACATGCATGTTACGTTGTATTGCTTTTGTTTTGATTCATTGAGTCTTTTGGTCGAACAGGTGGATAGCTTTGTATCTAGAACCAAAACAATTGCGGGTCACAACTTAGAACCAACACCTTGGCATCCCTTTCGTCCCAAGAAATTCAATGAGGAATCCCGATACACCCGAGCTTCCAAGATTTTACAATGTTCTTACCTCACATGTGGACAAAGTAACAATGTGCCACGACATGACCAGTCTCGATCAAATCATTCGGCTGAGAAATGCCCGGAATTCTTTAAATGGGTACACAAGGACCTCGAGCCCTGGTCTGGGACTCGGATATCATTAAAGCATTTGATGGAAGCCAAGAAATATGCTGCATTTCGTGTTGTGATTGTTGGGGGGAAACTGTATGTGGATAATTATTATGCTTGTGTGCAGAGTCGGGCAATGATTACGGTTTGGGGATTGTTGCAGCTTCTTAGGAGGTATCCTGGGATGATCCCGGATGTTGATTTGATGTTTGAGTGCATGGACAAGCCTTCTATAAACCGGACCGTGCATACAACGATGCCTTTGCCTCTGTTTCGGTATTGCACAACTCCTAATCACTTTGACATCCCATTTCCTGATTGGTCTTTCTGGGGTTGGTAAGAATCCGAAACCCTTCTCTGGATTACTGTTGATTTAATAAGAAATTGGAGTTGGATCTCTACCTTGATAATGAATTCTAATCATGATTGATTCTGACTAAGCATTGTTTCATGTTCTTTGGCACACGCATAATTGATGTTTTCTACATTTTGAAATAAAATGCTTCATAATGTATGCCCGCATAAGTTTAATCTTTCCACTTGTATACGTAATAAAGAAATTACTTTTTAACCAATCCTTGCAAATCTATCTAGGTTTCAATTCTTTCAATATCTTACTTGGTGAATAAATTATTTTTTCAATGCTTACCAAATTCAAAGATAAAAGTACTTTTATGCCTTTAAAATGTCACTTGTGAGCTTATTATCATGGATTACAAAAATGGCAAGAATATGGTAAATCTTAAAAGTACCTATGTAGGCTAGGATGGATACGTTCCACTATGATGTGATTTCAATCATTTGAGTTCTAGTTAGATAATAAAGGAGGTGTGGGGAGGTCTAGCAATAGGCCCACATATTTGATGGTCTCAAAATATTGATGTTTGGTTTATCTGAGGGAACCAACTCTAGCAAATTTTCTTGATTTACCTTTCTGTCTCATCTGAAGTAGTCAATAATGTTATCCTTGGCCAATCTTTGAAATAAGGTTGAAGTATAATCACAGTAGTGAATTTGTTTCATCTGGTTTATGCTATCAGCAGTGGCGGAGCCAGGAAATTAAGTCACTGAGGGAAACCATTAATAATTATATAATAAGAAATTTTTAACCAAAATAATAAATAGCAAAAGAGGGATTTTTTTATGCATTTTGATTCTTAATTTTTTTTGGGGACCCACCAGAGGAGAAAAGACATGGTCTTTCCTGAAATTTTTAAAATTTTGTTGGGCAAATGAGTTAGAAAATGAAGTTTTTTTTACGGTCTTTTATGAATTTTTTAGGTGTTTGATCAGGGCACTCTTTTAGTTATCAAAATTTGTGTATTGAAAATACAAATAACAGAATATTCAATAGGAAAGGAATCTTTACTGAATTTTGATTCTTGAACATGGGTATTTACTGAATTTTGAAAATCTAGTAGGGCAACTTAAAAAAGGTGACTTTTGCTAGTCTTTATTATGTCTTTATGAATATTTTAAAAAAAAAATCAGTTGGGACACTTTTAGAATTATCAAAATTTATGTGTAAAAAATGCAAATAAAAGAAAATTCTATTTGGGGGCAATTGCCCCCACTGGTCTCAACGTGGCTCGGCCACTAATTATCGGTGCCTGGGTGTGATTTAGTTTCAACTGAATGTTGTTGTAAATGATTCTCTTACAGGCCAGAGATAAATATTGAACCCTGGGAAGAAGAATTCAGGAGTATTAAAAAGGGTTCAAGAGGACGAAGTTGGAAAAGGAAGTGGCCTGTTGCATATTGGAAAGGAAACGCCAATGTTGGTTCTCCTGTTCGGACAGAGTTAATGAGATGTAATCACACAAGGCAGTGGAGAGCACAAATTTTTTTACAGGTTCATAACTTTTTAATTAATTATTGTTTGGCTTTCTTCTTAGTAATTAATGTTTGATTCATTTTCAATCGACAGAAAGTATGACATCGAGTTTCTTTTTTGGTTGTGAATTACAGAATTGGGTAGAAGAAGCAAAAGGTGGGTACGAGCAGTCCAAATTATCAAAACAGTGTGATTATAGGTAAATTACTTCTCTAAATTTGATGTCACATTAGGGACAACCAGGGTTGTCTAGGTTGCACTTGGATGCTTCTCAGTGAACATAAACTGAACTGTGAAGAGGGTAATTATCATTCGTGTGCAGTACATCTTCATTGGTCACCTTAGACTGCAAATCAGTTGGCCCCGTACAGATCCTAACCAATCCAGTTGAATGGTCTTGACTATCATCGTATTATATACGTAGTATTTTGAAAGGGTGAAATTGAACTGTTACATACCCATAAAAGAAATTCCTTAATTGAGTGGTATTACTTAAACTAAGAGCATCCTTGGTTGGGGCTCAGCACGTATTATGTATTGTGTTTTAATGGTAAAGAGTATCAGGGCTTGTATTTTGTTGTGCATTTGGTCTTTAATTTATTTGCTTTTATCTTTGCAGATTTAAAATTTATGCTGAAGGTTATGCTTGGTCTGTAAGCTTGAAATATATTCTGTCATGTGGCTCCCTCTCACTAATAGTATCTCCAGAATATCAAGATTTCTTTAGTCGTGCTCTCATCCCCAAGAAACACTATTGGCCCGTCCCTCGTACTGATTTATGCAGATCTATAAAATCTGCTGTTGACTGGGGTAATATCAACTCAGATGAGGTATGGCTGCTTCTTTTACTTACCTCATGATTGATGTTCCTGTTATTCATTTTGCGGCAGTGTAATTAAAAGGTGCACACTGGCATGGCAATGGAATTAACAACAAAAACTAATTTCTATGGTCTAATTTTTTTTATCTTTATATTTTAAGGAATCATTGCTTGACGCAATGGTAAAATCTCTACTTACACCAGTAAGAACATGGTTCGAGTCTTCTGAGCAGTCGCTTTGTGCAAATAAGGCTTAGGAATGCACTTTGTAGTGACTTTATGCATCTAAGCAATTAAATATTGAGTATTCAGGGTTTTAACACTGATACTTTTTTCCTTTTAATTTTTTTTATTTTTTTATTTTGTCCTTTTATATTGATGGAAATTAAGGCTGAGGTAACCTTGAATCTTAACAAATACAAAAAGACATTTATATACTGGAATATAATATCTGCCAAGAAAGTTAAACATTAATTTTAATTTCACCAAGTTGATTGCGAACTATAATTAATTCACATCAAATATATATTTTTGACAAGACTTGGCCTTGAACCAAACTAACTAGATGCTGAAAATGTGGAATTCAGTGTAAGAATATACTGATTGAAATAATTAGTAGTAGTACTAGCACTAAAACAAGTTGATTATGATGGAAGAGAGAGGAAAAATCTGTGGAAATCAAAATCAAATATTCGCATTTTCAGTAGTCCAGATGCTGTGAAAAATCAGCTTACCCCTTCATTTTTTTTACATCCATTTTATTGCCGGATTGAGTTACAGCTTCATTAGTGTATACGATCATTGTAATTATTGACTACGTTGTCCTTTCCTAAATATTTCTAATTAGTCAATTTATTTTTCTTGTTTCCGAAATGTGGCTGAGTTTTTTATTCCCCTTATCAATGGCTGGACAGGCCCAGGCAATAGGTACAGAAGGACAGAATCTCATGGAAAGTTTGACCATGGATCAGGTCTACAGTTACATGTATCATCTCCTCACAGAGTATTCAAAGCTGCTGGACTTCCAGCCAGTCCGGCCTTGGTCTTCTCAAGAAGTGTGTGAAGAATCCCTGCTTTGCTTTGCTGACGAAGCGCAGAAGCAGTTCCTCCAAAGGTCAACAACTTCCTCCCCTTCCGGATCTCCTCCCTGCACACTCCAACATTCTTGAGTTCGATAGAAATAGAAGAGGAAAGTCGTTGAGGTTTTTAAAGATTTTGTCAGACAAGGGTGCCTTCATATGGCTGTTACATAAATAAAAATATATTGTAGTTTTGTAATTGATGGTCTCAAAATGGAAAGTTGATTTAAAATTTTAATATAGGCTTGAGCAGAGCATTAGTTTTTCTTATGGCTTTGATTCATTTTAGATAAAAGTTTGTGTTCTCCTAGCAAGGCACGCTAGTCATCATGTAAAAACATGACATTCAATTCAATTACTAATATTTTCTCTTTTTTTAATGCGAAAGAATTATTTTCAGGAGTGTTTTGAAACCATTTCCTCATTATTTGTTCCTTTGCTGTTTGTGAGTGGAAATGAAAATCAACTTGAGATCCATTTCAGGTAATTACTGTATTTATTTCCCTTTTATGAATTTATATAGGGTTAACTTCAGTTATACGTATGTCCAATCTTCAAAGAGACCCCCTCACGTTTGCAAAAATTCAGTCAAACCCCTTACTTTTTTTGACACACATCAGTCTCACCCCCCCCCCCAGTCAACGGTCAAAGCTGGTCAGAGTTACTTTTTGCTGACATCAACAAAAAAAAGGAGCTTTTAATGCCCAGATTGCCCCTAAACGGTTATGTTTGGCTACAAGCATTAACGGTTATATTTGGCTTCAGGTTATAAAGCAATTTAAATGCCCAAATTGCCCATGAAGTCCATGTTACCCCTCAACTCTCCAACGGTCATGTTTGGCTTCTATAAATAAGAGATAGCTGGGCACAATGTTTGGCACTTCTTCTTTTCCTCTCTTATATTCTCCTATTTAAAGTGATGTCTCAATCAAGCGTAAATAGTTGTGAAGGTAGGGGCAGAGGCAGAGGCTATATACAGTATACGAACAAAATTTGTCGCTGTGGGGATTTTGCTATAGTGAAGGTTACAAAGAATGACAAAAATCACAACAAAGGAAGGTTGTATTATACTTGTGAAAATCTAACATGTAGTTTTTGGGAATGGTGTAACCCTATAGATGGTTCTATTGCTGCTGTTGTTACTGGTGTTGGTGCTGCTGAGGAGTCTGCAAATCAACTTCTGCTTGAGGTTGTTGCTGAATTGAGGTTGGAGAGACAAGCTATGAATTCAAGGTTACAATTTGTTGAAACAGCTATTTTGTATTTGAAGATAATTGTATTTGCTTGCTTCTTGTTATCTGTTTTCGCTATTTACTTCAAATAAAATGATGCAATAAATATTGACCTATATTGAGTACATTTACCATAGAAAGTATCATTAATCTATTAGCACTGCACATGCATTACAACCACAAAGCAAACATCACTATTATTGATAAACCATAAAAAAACATAACCAATCATAACTTACAAGTTTCAAGTTTCAAACAAAGTAGGTCAATATTTAATATAAAAATCCTAAAACTATTTGAATATTGGAATCAAAAGCATAAAAAACAAGCTCACTGTTGTGTGGTGAATAAAACCTAAAGGAGTCCCCAACTGTTAGCAGTCTCTGTTTCTTTCCTTGGTACTGCTTTTTCTACCCTCTCTGTAATTGAATGTTAGGATTAGAATACTAATGCAACAATAAATTAATATGTATAAGGATAAATATTAAGTAATTTATTGCTTACCCATGGTGGATGATTAACACCAATACCACTCTGACTTGGCTGTCTTCCACCTCTGTTGCCACTCTGGTTTGACTGTCTTCCAACTCTACTACCACTCTGAATTGGTTGTGAACAACTTCTCATATTCATATTTGGTTGAGAAGCACCACCTATGCCACTCACAGTTGGTTGAGAACTACCACTCATACCACCCACATTTTGTTGAGAATCACCACCAAGGCCATTCACATTTGGTTGAGAAGCTCCTTTTGCACGTACATTTCTTCCACCTCTTGCACTTACATTTCTTCCACCTCTCCTAGCAGTTTGGGACTGGAAAAAATTTAAACAAAAAAATTTAGTTAAGTACAGTATTGGGGAATCATAGAATTGAAAAATTGTTATAGTGAACATAAATAAGGACTTATACTTGTTGTGTAACACCAGAAGTTCCTGCTCCTTCTGATCATTGAGTTTGAAAACTTATATTTCCCTAAATTAACAATTAGAAGGTATATAAATCAGTAATAAAAGAAAATTTTGAAAACATAACAAGTTTAAAATTGAATGAAACACTCACTGTTGCTATTTGAGCTCTACCTTTTGCACTTGCAGCCCTCCTTCTTGCTGCTGCAGCTCTTTCTCTTACTGTTTGAGCTTTATGGCAAGTTCTCCTATTATGACCAGTTTATAGGCAATACTTGCATATTACAACTGATGATCGCAGGGGTAGGTTCACCTTGTTCCCTTCTTCTATTTTTTCTTGGTCTACCAGGTAATCTTCTTGGTTTAGGAGGGTACAAGTCAATTGATGGAATTTTTGGCCACAACTTCTCATCCACCAAAGGATGAATCATCCCACTGTGGGCAAGTAGATATGTGTCCTTGGTGTAACAAGGATCACAAAAATGCTCAGGGTCCTGCCTATTCCATAAAATAGCACCAGCTGCATGCCTACAAGGTGTCCCTGATATTTGTCATGCTCTACATGAGCAAGTCCTCAAGTTTAAATTAACCACACTTACTCCCACTACTTCATGAACTTCAAACTCCTCCCTCACAGCAGAACAAACTCTATACCCTCTTGATTCTTGAATAGATTTGTTTAATTTTTTCAAGGCATTAAGTGTCAAATTTCCCTTCCAAGCTAAAGCTTTGTGATACATTTTCTGGATTCTTACCATTAATTTAATCCTAATCCACTCAAGCATATTCAAGATTGGCTTAGACCTATAATGACCAACCCAGTTGTTGAAGGATTCAGTCAAATTGTTTATGATATGGTCACTCTTTGATGTCTCACCATACCCCACTCTAGACCATATTTCCAAAGGCCTGTCCATTAGCCAAGCATAAGCTTCTCTAGAAATCCCATTCATGTGATTCATTGCATCATTAAATTCAAGTTGATTGCATGATCTAGCAGCTTTCCAATTTTTTTTTTTTTCAACAAGAAGTTAGGATTATCCTTCCTAAAACTGTTAAACAAGTGCCTACAACATATCCTATGGCTTGCCTCAGGAAACAAGTTAGAAATTACAACTTCAATATCCTGAAATGCAAAATAAATAAATTAAAAGTAATAATGAATAATTTAATAATGAACTATGTAATAATGAACAAGTTAAAGAAAAAAATTATACCTTTTGCATATCAGACATAATTGTCCAATGTCTGACTTGTGCATCTGCACCAAGAATATTTTTCAAATTATCTAAGAAAAAAATCCATGTCTTCTTTCCTTCACTTTCTACCACAGCATAGGTAATGGAAAATAGACCATTATTGCCATCCAAGGCCATAGTTGACAAAAGCACTTCACCATGTGGGCCCTTTTATAAACCCAGACCTTAAAATACCAAAAGCAATGAAAATCTTTCTGAATCTATTGACTTCATTGAATTCAGCATCATAATAATCAATTGTGAACAAACTGCGAGGGTTTGTCCTCCTAATTTCATTCCTATAGAAGGGCAGCAAACTGTATGACTTCCCATGGTTACCCTCAATCACATCCAATGCCTTTCTGTTTGCCCTGTAGCATTGTTGTTTCTTTACTTTAATGCCATATTTTTCATGCAGTGTAGTTCTCAGACTTTCAACTGTCATTTATGGGTTTTGTTTGAGTTTTTTAAAAAACTTCTTTGCAAATTATGTAGAATTGGCTAATGGATTTTTATCACCCCTCACACAAGAATGATTGTCATTGTATGTTTTTATCATGTAAGTCTTATAAGGCAGTGGGGAGGCATGAATCCTCTATGGACAATCTTTGGCTTTGCAAACACAAGTTACCCTTGAACTCTTATTTTTGGTCTTTCTAATTTGAAACCCTTATTGGATTGTATAATCTGTCAATACCTCTCTAAAATGTTTCACATTTTGAAACAACAAATATTGTTCTAGTTTTATAGGTTGTCCTTTCACCTTTACATATTCCACCCCTTTGATTTTTTTAACCAAATCCTTGTTCTTTGATTTATTTCTCTTTGGATATTTCACACCAATCTCTACACTTGAATCAGAATGTGCTTCATCATTTGACTCATAATCTGACAGGCCATCCTCACAGTCCATATTGTAGTTTTCATCATTGTATTGAAACCCTACATACTCATCATCTGAGCTATCAGTGTCAGTTTCAACACAATCAGTATCACCTTCTGCCATCCAATCTTTATTCTCTTTCCTAAAATCATACACATCATCTTTCTCCACATCATTATCCTCTTTCTCATTGTTTTCATCACCCACTTCCTCATCATTTTCTTCACTCAGTCCCTCACTATTTTCAGCATCCATTCCATAATCCATATCCTCATAAGGCTCATCCATATTAGCTGATATATTTAAGGGTTCAACTTCTTCTATCTCAACATACACATTAATGTTAATTCTTTCACTATTTAAGTACAACATGTCTAACAAATCAACTTCATTCTCAACCAACATCTTAGAATAAGAACCAGGAACATCACAGTATATAGTATAGGTAAACCCCAAACCCACAGGATAATTGTGATACCCTTCGGATCCGAGACACGGGTTGATCAGGCCAGGCCCAAACCCGAGGGATATCAAACAATTAAAGTATTTTAAATCGAACACGGAATACAAAATGAATTGAAGAAATAAAATTTAAAGCTGAATGAAAACTAATTTAAAATCCTCAAATACATATAATTATCCAAATCCAATAATCCAAAACTCTATAAATTTACAACTCGGGAATCCATCAATTGGACCCCTTATTAAAATTCTCAAACCAAAACTGAAATAATAGAAATAAAATCCAAAGCTAACATAAAGAAGATTCCTACATAATCAGAGGAGTGAATATCTGTATCTGCTCTGCACGTCCAAGCTCTAACCCTGAAACTGACGAACACCTAAAAAATAAAGGAGTGGGTCAGACCCACATGCAAGACCTGATCTACTACAATCCAAACAGTAATCCGATACGCAGATACATCCTAAGAAGACTCAACAATATCTAGAGTAGTCCATATATGTATATAGTACACACTATAGGACGCTCGCTAATCCAGTAGGTCTGTCTCAGCCTAAATAGAAGGCAACATGCAAATACGCACCCTAAGGTGGGCATGAGTACCTAGACCTAC